TAAGGTGACCGTGACTCAAAGTACTGAAGCAAAGTGTCAGCATGACAGGCATTTCCAAAAATCACGGATGGCGCATTTATTTCAACTCAAAAAATTTGCCAGCACTTTGATTACTGCTCAGAGGACATTCACAGAAACCTGCAATGAGAGCTATAGTGCCTTTTCTTGAGGCACGGGGGTCCTGGGTGCAACATCCCTTAAAAATAATATCCGCATCAGCAAAAGGTCACGAGCCAATCTTCACTTCTCTTCTAAAATGTGCTTGACCCCACCCCAATGCTGTTAGATGGGCGGTGCCACTGACTAGTAAGCAGGCAAGATTCGCCTAGAACTTCAGCCGTATGATGATTCTGACATGCGGTAATCATACGCTCAATTTGAACTTCTCACATTTATCATCAACACAGTAATGTAAAAGTTCAGGGTGTGGAGGAGCACCTGAAATGTCACACAGCCAATCACAGGAGGCCCCGGGCCGGTTATACAGTGATGGGGGGGTGACCTTCCATTCAGGTAAAGGTAACTACAGGCACTGAAGTTGGCCTAGCACAGATGGGGTTTGCTGGCTCTGGGATTGTATCATCCTGACAGACGTCCAATCAGATGTCACACACTGATAGAGCAGCCTCTTGTCTCCTGTGAGACCGTAGATGCGAGTTCAAGGCGGATTTGTCGGCAAATTTCTTTCCGCATTCAGTACACGAATATGGGCGATCGCCAGTGTGGACTCTCATGTGTCTGACCAGCGTCATTTTATTGGCAAAGCCTTTCCCGCACTCAGAACACAAATATGGGCGATCGCCTGTGTGAATCCGGCAATGGATGACCAGGTACGACTTGGTGGTGAAAGACTTGCCGCATTCCGGACACGAGTACGGCTTCTGTCCCGTGTGAATTATTTCATGTGCAGTAAGGGTCGATTTTTGAGAGAAACTTTTCCCGCACGTGGAACACGAGAACGGTTTCTCTCCCGTGTGAGTCCTCTGGTGCAAAGTAAGACTTCCTACCAGGGTAAAACGTTCGCCACATTCCAAACACGGATACGGCTTTTCCCCGGTGTGTCTTCTCTGGTGCGAGAGGAGGTTGGCTCTCTGCGTGAAACCCTTCCCGCATTCGGAACAAGAAAACGGTTTCTGAGCTGCGTGAACCCGTTCGTGGTAAAAAAGGTGCGACCTGTCGGTAAAGCGCCTGCCGCACTCGGAACAGGCATATGGCTTCTCCCCTGTGTGAACCCTCTCGTGGTTGACGAGAAATGACTTTCGGGAAAAGCACTTCCCGCAATGGGCACATGAAAACGGCTTCTCTCCGGTGTGAAGTCTTTCGTGTGTGACCAGAGACGATTTCCGGGAAAAGCATTTCCCGCACTGAGAACAAGGAAAGGGCTTCTCGGCTGTGTGAGACCTCTTGTGATAGATGAGGTTCGATTTGTGGCTGAAACTCTTCCCGCACTCGGAACATGAAAACGGTTTCTCCCCGGTGTGGACCCGTTCATGGGTGATGAGATTACATTTGCGGGTAAAACATTTTCCACACTCTGAACATGAAAAGGGCTTCTCGGCTGCGTGAACTGTCTGCTGCATGAGCTGTGGCGTAGCTGAATTTTCTTCTGAAGAATCCCATGTGATGTCATCGTCTTCTAGGTCACTATCATGACAGATGATAGGACAATTCTCTGGGTTATTCCCGACGTGTTGGCCATCTGGAATGAAGCAGATTTCCACACATTTTCAACAATACATAGCCAGATGGGGGACACGCATAGCTCCTGATTAGAGGCACGGTCACCTTGTCCATGCAGATCAATGTGATAGTGTCAATGTAATGGGGCCCTCCCCGATCCCTTCGTACTCACCCTGCCTGTGCTCCCACGCTGCTCCTTCTTCCATCACAGGGGGCATTAGAAACTGTGTTGGTGACCAGTGGAGCAGTGGTGTCACTCCTTTAGTCATGTGACAGTACTGGGGTCTAACAATTACCTGCTAGGCCTGAGCACTGTCACAGGGCAGGAAGTCACATTATTTCCATACCAGAAGTGCCAGGTACTGTTGCTAGCTACAAAGGAGTGGCAAGGTGAGTATAAGGGGGTCGGCCCTTTCTAAAGACATTGTCACTTTGACCTGCAGGAGCAAGGTGACAGCGTTCTTCCTGGCTCAGCAATTCAGCCCTCGTCACATTTCCACCTCCAGCCTCCTCCTACAATCACATATGGCCAGTGAACTTACCCAGGAAGTAGCAGAGTGACCTTATGGGTATCATGAAAACGGTCGAGTGAATTTACATATCGTTTGGCAGGTAAGTGAGCCATGTGCACTATATGGCGTGTGGATGGACACCTGACCGTGACACGTCTATGAGCTTGTTGGACATCCCATCCAAAACCATGACCATTAATATGGATTCCCCCTTTGTGGTTATAACACTCTTCTGGGAAGGCTTTCCTCAAGATTTTGGAGGGTGTCTGTAGGAACTGGTGTCCATTCAGCCATTTGTGTGGTCAGATACTGATGTTGGAAAAGAAGGCCAGACTCATAATGGGCGTTCCAATTCATCCCAAAGGTGTAGAGTTGGGGGTCAGGTACTGATGTTGGAAGAGAAGACCGGGTTCACATTGGGAGTCCCAATTCATTCCAAAGGTGTTCAGTAGGGTTGGGGGTCAGGTGCTGATGGTGGAAGAGAAGACCTGGTTCACAATGGGAGTCCCAATTCATTCCGAAGGTGTTCAGTAGAGTTGGGGGTCAGGTGCTGATGGTGGAAGAGAAGACTTGGCTCATAATGGGCATTCCAATTCCTCCCAAAGGTGTTCAGTAGAGTTGGGGGTCAGGTGCTTATGTTGGAAGAGAAGACCTGGCTCATAATTGGAGTTCCAATTCATCCCAAAGGAGTTCAGTAGAGTTGGGGGTCAGGTGCTGATGTTGGAAGAGAAGACCTGGCTCATAATTGGAGTTCCAATTCATCCCAAAGGAGTTCAGTAGAGTTGGGGGTCAGGTGCTGATGGTGGAAGAGAAGACTTGGCTCATAATGGGCATTCCAATTCATCCCAAAGGTGTTCAGTAGGGTTGGGGGTCAGGTGCTGATATTGGAAGAGAAGACCTGGCTCATAATGGGTGTTCCAATTCATCCCAAAGGTGTTCAGTAGAGTTGGGGGTCAGGTGCTTATGTTGGAAGAGAAGACCTGGCTCATAATGGAAGTCCCAATTCATCCCAAAGGTGTTCAGTAGAGTTGGGGGTCAGGTGCTGATGTTGGATGAGAAAACCTGGCACATAATGGGCGTTCCAATTCATCACAAAGGTGTTCAGTGGGGATAGGGGTTAGGTGCTTATGTTGGAAGAGAAGACCTGGCTCATAATGGGCGTTCCAATTCATCCGAAAGGTGTTCAGTAGAGTTGGGGGTCTGCTGATGTTGGATGAGAAGACCTGGCTCATAATGGGCGTTCCAATTCATCCGAAAGGTGTTCAGTAGAGTTGGGGGTCAGGTGCTTATGTTGGAAGAGAAGACCTGGCTCATAATGGAAGTCCCAATTCATCCCAAAGGTGTTCAGTAGAGTTGGGGGTCAGGTGCTGATGTTGGATGAGAAAACCTGGCACATAATGGGCGTTCCAATTCATCACAAAGGTGTTCAGTGGGGATAGGGGTTAGGTGCTTATGTTGGAAGAGAAGACCTGGCTCATAATGGGCGTTCCAATTCATCCCAAAGGTGTTCAGTAGAGTTGGGGGTCAGGTGCTGATGTTGGATGAGAGGACCTGGCTCATAATGGGCATTCCAATTCATCCCAAAGGTGTTCAGTAGGGTTGGGGGGTCAGGTGCTGATGTTGGAAGAGAAGACCGGGCTCATAATGGGCGCTCCAATTCATCCCAAAGGTGTTCAGTAGAGTTGGGGGGTCAGGTGCTGATGTTGGATGAGAGGACCTGGCTCATAATGGGCGTTCCAATTCATCCCAAAGGTGTTCAGTAGCATTGAGGTCTGGGCTCTGTGAAGGCCACTTGAGCTCCTCCACATCAAACCATGTCCTTATGGACCTAGTTTGGTGCACATGAGCAGAGTCATGCTGGAACAGAAAAGGTCCTTCACCCAACTGTTCTCACATAGTTGGAAGCCCACAATTGTCTTAAATATCTTTGTATGCTGTATTAACAGTACACCTCAGTGGAAACACGGAGACACCTGGAGGGGTTTCCACATAGCTGTGACGGTCAGGTGTCCATAAACGTTTGGCCATATGTTGTATTTGACCTGTGCATGGAGCTGGTTGCCTCAAGTTCACCTCTCCTGGTGGATGCATAAAAAGTGTCTGGGGAGGGAAGGGGGGAGGGGATTTTTGTAGCAAACAAGGAGAATCTGGGAGTCTTTTCTGGATTTAGTGTCTGTTACTCACCTGTGCCGATGTCTGGAGGGATTTCCTCCTCCTTGCACGGCTCATCACTCCTCACATATGTGTCTTCATCTTTTTCTTCTTTTACTTCAACTTTAATCAGATTTATATCCTGAGTAACAAAAGAAAAATGTAGTTACCGATATAGACTCTCTGGTCGTGGGCTTGCAAGCTTGCGGACCCTCTGGTCGTGGGCTTGCAGACCCTCTGGTCGTGGGCTTGCAAGCTTGCGGACCCTCTGGTCGTGGGCTTGCAAGCTTGCGGACCCTCTGGTCGTGGGCTTGCAAGCTTGCGGACCCTCTGGTCGTGGGCTTGCAAGCTTGGGGTCCAACTGGTCGTGGGCTTGCTGACCCTCTGGTGTTGGGCTTCCAAGCTTGTGGACCCTCTAGTCGTGGGATTGCAAGCTTGTGGACCCCCTGGTCGTGGGCTAGCGAGCTTGTGGACCCCCTGGTCGTGGGCTAGCGAGCTTGTGGACCCCCTGGTCGTGAGCTAGCGAGCTTGTGGACCCCCTGGTCGTGGGCTAGCGAGCTTGTGGACCCCCTGGTCGTGGGCTAGCAGGCTTGTGGACCCCCTGGTCGTGGGCTAGCAGGCATGTGGATCCCCTGGTCGTGGGCTAGCAGGCTTGTGGACCCCCTGGTCGTGGGCTTGCAGGCTTGCATGCCCCCTGGTCGTGGGCTAGCAGGCTTGTGGACCCCCTGGTTGTGGGCTAGCAGGCTTGGGGACCCCTTGGTCATGGGACATCAGTTTGTGGACTCTCTACTCATGGGCTAGCTGGCTTGTGGACCCTCTAGGCATGGACTAAAATATATAGAACAAAAAAAAAAGAAGAAGAGGTAAACAATATTGCGACCTGAAACTATACGGTATAGATATGTATAGATAGTGTAGACGGGGTTTGGTTCTTCATAAAAAGTTCAGGTCTGTGTACCTGAGGGATCTCCTGAAGTCCCTGAGGGATCTCCCGATCTCCATGAGGGATCTCCCGATCTCCATGAGGGATCTCCCGATCCTCCTGAGGGATCTCCCGATCCTCCTGAGGGATCTCCCGATCCTCCTGAGGGATCTCCCGATGTTCCTGAGGGATCTCCTGATGTTCCTGAGGGATCTCCTGATGTACCTGAGGGATCTCCTGATGTACCTGAGGGATCTCCTGATCCTCCTGTGTGGAATCCCGGGAATACAGAGGACGGGGACATCTCTCTGGGGGATTTCTGTTCCTGGACCCATCTGTAGGAAACACACACACTGACTGAATACAATGTTTCTATGTCTTTATATCAGAGGATGTGTGTATCTAGGGGGATCCTCAATACTCAAGGAATGAAAGTCTCCTCTTACCCGGTGATGTGAGGGGCGGCCAGTTCTTCATCATGATGTCCTTGTAGAGCTCCTTGTGTCCTCCTAGATACTCCCACTCCTCCATGGAGAAATAGACAGAGACATCCTGACACCTTATAGGAACCTGACACACACAATGATACAGTCACCATCCAGACACATCCCTTGTCTGTTCCTGGATCATGTCCCAGAATTCCCGGCACCTCTCACCTCTCCTGTCAGCAGCTCAATGATCTTGTTGGCGACTTCTAGAATATTTTTGTCTTTGTTTTTCTCAGGTATCCGGGAGGGAGATGGAGGCTCCATACTGAGGCTCTTACTCCAGTTACATCCCACTGACACATGTGGTTGGCTGCTGGGTGTCACATGATCAGCAGATGTCTTTACTACTATGTAATCCTGTGCAGAAAATAACAAATTAAAGTGAATATTTCATGGCATGAATGCAATGTAGCCCCAGATGATAAATGGGTGATGATGTGACCTCCCAGAATGCTCCTCACCTCTCCGGTCAGGTCTGTGTTTTATTACTAGAGATAAGCGTGACGTCTTGTGACCTCCCAGAATCCTCCTCACCTCTCCGGTCAGGTCTGTGTTTTATTACTAGAGATAAGCGTGACGTCTTGTGACCTCCCAGAATCCTCCTCCCCTCTCCGGTCAAGTCTGTGTTTTATTACTAGAGATAAGCGTGACGTCTTGTGACCTCCCAGAATCCTCCTCACCTCTCCGGTCAAGTCTGTGTTTTATTACTAGAGATTAGTGATGTGCTCGGGCTTGTTCGCAGCTCCACGTGCCGAGCCCGCCAGGAAGCTGACAGCGCCAATCACAGGCACGTAGACATTTCCCAATCTCTGCAGCTGCGGACCGGGATAATGTCTCAGTACCTGTGATTGGCGCTGCGGCGCTGTCAGCTTCCTGGCGGGCTCGGCACGTGGAGCTGCGAATACGCCCGAGCACATCACTACTAGAGATAAGAGTGATGTCATGTGACCTCCCAGAATCCTCCTCACCTCTCCGGTCAGGTCTGTGTTTTATTAATAGAGATAGGAGTGATGTCATGTGACCTCCCAGAATGCTCCTCACCTCTCCGGTCAGGTCTGTGTTTTATTAATAGAGATAGGAGTGATGTCATGTGACCTCCCAGAATCCTCCTCACCTCTCTGGTCAGGTCTGTGTTTTATTAATAGAGATAGGAGTGATGTCATGTGACCTCCCAGAATGCTCCTCACCTCGCCGGTCAGGTCTGTTTTATTAATAGAGATAAGAGCGATCTCATGTGACCTCCCAGAATCCTCCTCACCTTTCCAGTCAGGTCTGTGTTTTATTATTAGAGATAAGAGTGATGTCATGTGACCTCCCAGAATCCTCCTCACCTCTCCGGTCAGGTCTGTGTTTTATTAATAGAGATAAGAGTGATGTCATGTGACCTCCCAGAATCCTCCTCACCTCTCCGGTCAGCAGGTAGATGATCTCCAGGGTGAGGTTTAATATCTTCTCAGTTATTTCACTTCTTGCTCTCTCCATCCTCAGTCTGGTGATTGCTTCCAAACTAAAGACTTTGCTGTATTGAGAGAGAAAAAAAATGCAATCAATATTGGAGAAAAATGTTTCTTTTTGTTCATTTTGGCCCCACCCTCCACCGCCATTCCCACCTATGCGAGAGTGACGTGTCCCTGCAGCCCCCCTGGTATATCCGTGAAGGCATCAGGAGCAGGAAAACAGCGCGGTCTGGAGGTGGGTCATTGGACGCCGGCTGCCTGATCCAGACAGCTGGTTCCTGATCACCAAGTGGAGGAAGATGGCGGCGTGTCTGTGTCGGAGGGGAAGTTCATTGATAGGGTTTACGTGGTCAGTGGCCGGTACAGGTAAGTCCTGTTGCTTTTATTTGCATGTCCGGCTTGTGTTACCTTTTTTTTCTTCTTCTAGGACAGAGTCACTCTAACGTGTCCCCGAGGATTCTGCAATGTTTTTTTCTTCGAGGGTCCAATCGGGTATCAAAGCGAGAAGACAAACACTTCTGTATGGTAAGCACAGTCAGGGTGGCCAATCAAAGACATTGCTTAGGACGGATTCTCAGATCGAAGTACAATGTTTCTGCTCCCAGCTCCATTTATTAGCCCCTCTAGTGTCCACCATGACCCCAGACACTCCTGTGTAAGGAAAGCTATAGAAGAGGACAGCAAGGTCCCATAACCCTCCCATCCACCTAAATACTCATTACAGCGCTGAGCAAATTGTTGGCGCTACATAAATCCTGTGTAATAATAATAACAATTACAGCTCACTGTCACACCAACACTCACCTGCAGCCCTTCTCTCTCTCTCTCTCTCTCTCTCTCTCTCTCTCTCTCCCGACCGGAAGTTCCCATTTCACTTCCGGGTTTCCTCTGTAGGCCTTAGTGCAGGAGAATTGGCGGCCATTTTGTGGTAGCCCGGAAGAGCTAGAAGGAGACGTTTTTAGTGGTATGAGAACTCCCTGGTGGGGGTTTTATCTTGCATAGAGTCTATCCTGTAAGGAGGAGGTAATAATGTCTTCTTATTATGACAGAAGGGGGTCCCAGCACTCTCTGTGGACTGGATGGGGGATCATGTCACCTTACCAAATCATCATCATCTTTATGCAAGTCCTCTGATGTGTAGAACATTAGATTGCGAGCTCTGGGGGCGATGATGGCGCTGGGGGTGTATTCTACAGAAAGCCGCAAAAAATATTTGGGGTGCCCATGATACACCTCCTACTTCTGCAATATATGCAGTTTCACCTGCCTAGGACAAGAGACAGATTGACTGCTCTGGAGAAAGTTGGACACTTGGTAATGCCTATGCACTTGTGAGAGCCAAGTTGGCCCAGGCCTATGCAAGACTGTCATCGACGCCCCCCCCCCCTTTCTCCTGGCCCAATCAGCTGCGGTCGGGGCATTCCCCATCAGCTACATGTAACAAATGGGTGAGGAATGCCCTGGCCGCAGCTGGTTAGGCCAGGATAGGTGCGTGTCGCAGACAGTTTTGAATAGGCCTGGGCCAACTTGGTTCACGCCAAGCTCACGCACATCACTCTTCTGTACAGAAATAGGCATAGCTATGAGAATTAGTTTAGAATGTAGAGGAGGGAGTCTGGAGGGAGAAAACTGATATAAAAAGCCATCTTGCATGGCCAACGGAGGTACCATGTAGACTAATTGTAGACTAATAGCCGCACCTGTGACCTGCTACTGTCCTTTTACTGGCCTTTATCCTGATGGCCCTGCCTGCTTTGTATGCATTGTGCCCGCAGCACCCACCAATGTACTTTAGCTGGCACTGTTGGGAGGAGGGATCTCTGGCCTCTAGAGGAGCGGTGTGGAACATATTCAGAGGTGAGTGGCCACTGAACACCAATGCTGGATTTTATTCCGCTGACAGCAACAACGTGCCACTGTTCCCCCTACTGTGACTAATGAGGGGGTACTATTGCTTCCACTGACCAGTGATAGAGCACTTTTCCTCCCAATGACATCTGGGACCGGGCACTATTTTTCTTATAGACGCCAATGACAGGGCACTGACACCAGCCGTGGGGGATTATTCCCTCCACTTATTGCCAGTGTTGGGGCACCATTCCACTTATTGCCAGTGTCGGGGCACCATTACACTTATTGGCAGTGTTGGGGCACCATTACACTTATTGCCAGTGTTGGGGCACCATTCCACTTATTGCCAGTGTTGAGGCACCATTCCACTTATTGCCAGTGTTGGGGCACCATTCCACTTATTGCCAGTGTTGGGGCACCATTCCACTTATTGCCAGTGTTGGGGCACCATTCCACTTATTGCCAGTGTTGGGGCACCATTCCACCCACTGACACCAATGATGTGGCACTGTTCTGACAAAAGAACAGGACACTATTCTGCCTACTGACACCAGCAATGGGGCACTAATCCCTCCTGTGACCCTAATGACGGGGCACCATTCCTCCCACTGACACCAATGACAGGGCACCATTCCTCCCAATATCGTGACATTTTTCCTCCCAATGACGTGACACTTTTCCTCCCACTGACACCAACTATGGGGCACTCTTTCTCCCATTGACACCATCAACAGAGCACTATTACTTGGACCCTAATGACATGGCACTATCACTTCCTTGGACCCCAATGACAGGGCACTATAATGTCCATGGACCCCAATGACAGGGCACTATTACCTCCATGGACCCCAGTGACAAGACACTATTGCTTCCATGGATCCCAATGACAGGGCACTACCTCCATGGACCCCAGTGACAAGACACTATTGCTTCCATGGACCCCAATGATAGGGTACTATAACGTCCATGGACCCCAATGATAGGGTACTATAACGTCCATGGACCCCCATGACAGGGCACTATTACCTCCATGGACCCCCATGACAGGGCACTATTACCTCCATGGACCCCCATGACAGGGCACTATTGCTTCCATGGACCCCAATACCAGGGCACTATTTCTCTCTGATACCACAGACATTGGGCATTTTTTTAACTTCAGGCATTTTGTTTACTACCAGGGGCCACAGTCTGGTCCCTCCCCCACCCCACAGTCTCTAGGGCTGTGAACTCCCCCTTGTTTAAAAGTCTGAGAACCCCTGGTGTGGCCAAGTGGCAAGAAGGGACCATTGTGTGAAGAATGCAATCCACACTAGACCCACTAGAAGTCTAGACCTTTCTATAATGTATACGTGATGGGAAATCTATGTTGGGATAATATTTTATGGATGACGAGTTTTATTTCTTTATTGTTGCGTTTGCTTTGCAGAGTATTTCAACGTACAGACAAACAATGGAAGAGAAGATCAGTAGAAGGACATCATGATGGAGAACCGGCCGGCCCTCACATCACCGGGTAAGAGGAGACTTTCATTTCTTGTAAAGGAGAGAAGAGTATTGAGGATCCCCCTAGATACACACATCCTCTGATATAAAGACATACATGTGCATATATTACATGTGCGTATATTACATGTGCGTATATTACATGTGCGTATATTACATGCGCGTATATTACACGTGCGTATATTACATGTGGGTATATTACATGTGTATATATTAAAGTGTATATAATCCCGAACAATTCACTTCTCCTATATGGTCTCTTTTGGTTTGTTAAATACGCTATTGAAAGCCTTTGGTTATATCAGTACCTCCAACAAATGCCCGTTGGCCCTGCCAGAAATTCCGACCTGTCTGGTGGCACACTTCCTGTGTTATCCTAAGGAGTGCAATGAACCCTCCCAGTTCTTGGACTGCAGAACAATTAGTCCCTATGTTGTGGAGATGAGGATGGCAGGAGGGATTTGGTAGTTTAGCAAGGGATTGCTATTATTCATTCCTTTTTGTGTATCACAGCTCAACATGAAAATGGCTGGTCTGGCAAAC